GCTCCCCCTGACACCACTCTGCCTCCAGCCCTCTCAACCACTGACTCCTCCATAAACCTCCCCTCCAGCCACCGTGGAGAGGGGGAATGAGGGAGGGAGAGTGTTTATGGAGAGGTGTAAAGACTGGACAGAAGCTTGGACAAGACTTGTTGTCCCCGCAGCCCGAGGGCAGGTGGAAGGATGAATTTAGGCCCTACTGCTCTACCTTTCCCCAGAGTGCAATTACGCAAGCAATTACTCTCCCTGGGCATCACACACCCCGCTAAACCGCCAAGATCACATCCAATCTGTCAGGGCCGGCTGGGATACTGGATGCTTAACGTACTTCAATAGGCTCACCCTCATGATAACTAGCTACAGGGATCGCCAGAGGGAATGTGTTGAGAGGAGGATAAGACGATGAGAAGAGGATGAGGTGAAGGATGGAGTGGCGGTGGAGGCACACATGCAAGTACATATCTTAAGTTGATATTCTATATGCATTAGGGCTTATGTATCCGTGAGAGAAATATCAATGCAGAGCTACTCGTCTCCACCCATCAGCAACAGTAGAATATGGTGATATGACACATCTTTTCTCTGCATTAATCTTCCCCAGCTATTCCAGATAGATGTCCGTGTGTGTGTGCCTCCACATCTGGAGTGAATAGAAGAGGATCAGACTCCGCAGTGAAATGAAACCTCTGGTGCGGTGCTTTTCTCTGGCGTCAGAGCATGTGCAGGAATACAGGTGCCAATTATTTTCACATCTAATGTAAACCAGAGAACAAGGACACGTCAATCACCGCGGCTGCCTTTTGGAATGGAAATGGGATGTATTCATAGGAGCGCGGCTATTTTGGCGGCGGATGAAATGGGTTGGTTGGGACTTATAAAAATATCCCCGCAGATTCAGGCTTTGTAAGGAAAACCTCAAGTCTTCTGAACCTCAGACTGGTCCGCCTATAATGAGCAGAAAATGTGGCGATGTGAAAATTACATTCTGCTGCTGACTGTGAACAATAAGGGGTTTCATGCTCATGAGGACATTGCCTATTTTGAGGTTTAGCTCCTAGAAACTGGTGTTAAGAGAAGAAGTCACTGATCATTTGCAGGTAGGAAATGCATGCAGCCTGACAATAAAGATAAAAGGTACAACAAGACGCTGCTGAAACAAGCCTGGCTGCAGCTATGCCAGCTACAAGAGGCTGTACTGTGGTTGAGCTAGATTCTAACATTTAAACGCAAACATGCTCAATGCTAACATGTCCATAAGCAAGTACAATAGTTAGCATGATTGCCGTCTTAGTTTAGCATGTTGTTAGCATGCCAACATTTGCTAATTAGCACAAAACACAGCTACAGCTGAAGTAAACGCAACTATTGGATATTGAAGGTGTGACCTGATGATTGCACTCAATGAAAAGTTAAGGGGTCACCAGAATCATTACAGTATATACTAAGGGGAGACATTCAAGTCTGAGCCAGATATCATGGTAATCCATCCAATAATTATTGAGACACATCACTCAAAAACACGAATATGAACCTCATGGTGGCGGCCGGAGATAAAGGATCCCTGAAGTCATTAGTATTCATCCTCTGGGCACCTGGGCCCCACCCATTAATCGTGAACCAGAATAAATAAAGAATCAAGATTATTAAAGTACTTAAAATATCAAAATGAAGCTACTATCGAGGCAATAGGCTCGCGTACTTTGCAGTTATACGTAACATACCCATACGATATACCGTATATACTATACCTGCCTTCATATATACCGGGTAGCTACTATATAGTATATGTAGGTATACCTATATATCATCCGCTATAGATATATATATAATATTATATATTTTACATCTCCATACCATACTTAAGTGGAGTACATGAGTAGATGTACTTTTCATCACTGTTAGGGTCTAAAAGTCAGAATGCTTCTTTCCCTACTCTCTCTCTACCTAGTCCCTCAACTTTATGAAAGTCTGATACTAAACTGCTAAAGTGCTCTTAAAAGCCACCCTGTGTGTCCTCACCCTCATGCTGCTATACCTGGGCTCAAACAGGCTGAAAACCTGCTTCATGTTTGGGATTTCAGGACCTAACACCGGAAGATAATCCTACCTCCTTTGGTGTCGAAAAACAGGCCGACGACCAGGATGATTGACAGATAAATACATAGCGAGTGGCCACTTCATTACTTGGAGCTACACCTGTCTGGTAGCAGCCGGGGCACAACCTAATCTTGGGAGCACGGATTGAACAAGGCACTGAAATGTTTCACACACAAAGTCATATGCAAATCTTGTCCCACTGCAGCCCAGATTTGATCAGGTTGATATTTGTCTGCATGCTTTACGCTTTATTTAGAGGACACGTTTCTTTATGCCTGAGCTGTGAAGTGAGACGTGTACCAAATAATGTGGAAGATGCATAACATGCAGCACATAACCTATTAAGCCTGAAGAGAACTGGATGTAACAGCTCTACTGGTGTGTCAGAGCCGGGTCAGAGTGACGCCCTGTGCTAAGCGCCTGCCAAACACATCCAAAGTCTCTCTGAGATAAAGGAGCCGTCCCTTTGACATTTTCAGAAATGCCATGTATGACAGCCTCTAAAAGCTACAGCAAATCTGCTCCCTCTGCCTCATGTTCTAAAAAGCCTTTTCCTTTCAAAGGCAGCATGAGAGTGACAAACCAGAGAGCGGTCTAGACATTTTAGCATCTCGAACTTCAGAGCCGCGCGCTCCTCTTTTCCCCGTGCTAATTCAGCCGGGGTCACACCGCTGAGTGTTTGCTTGAGTGCTTCGCTGTGGGATTAGGAGATTCAACAGGCAGACAGCCATTTGAATAATTGTTTTCAAATGTCTTTCTTAATATCAAGATCCCATTACTTACTATTCTGCACACTCTCTGGTGTCGAGCGCTGGGACTGTTAAGTTTGTGTGTGTGTGCCTGTCTAATGGAAGGCACTTATGCAAGGCCATGGAGACTCACTCAGGATGCGACGTAAATGGAAGCACAGAACACAGAAACACAGAACACTTGATGTGGATTGGCTCATTAACTGCACAAGTGGAAAGACTACACTGCTAGCCACCTTGGGATGAAGATAATGGCTCTGCTGTCATCTGTGGCAGTTCGGCCGACATGGCTTTCCGATACAGACACAAATAACACGTTGACAGATGTTTAAAGCATTAAAGATGACAATTATTCAGTGTAACCTCGAGAATTTCTTTGTTGGCAAGGTAGTTTAGCTGTAGACTTAACAATGAAAACCACAACATTTAATCCTGAAATCACTATCTATCATAGGCAATTAGTGTGGTTTTAGCCAAAGGGGGAAATGTTTTGACAGTCAGAACACAAGCCTGATTTAACATTTAGGAATAGTTGTACATTTCAGAAGAATACAGCAATTCCTTAGGAAAGGTTGGGCTGATGTGGCGCTGCCTGATGTGGTTTGTCACAAGTTTGTCATGAGATTTGACCAACTTCGTTGCTCAAAAAAAGAGAAGACAATGTGAAATAGTGGACTGAAGATCATGGCAAAATGAATGTCTGAATATGCAATGGACTAGCCTCGAGGGAAGGAATCTGACTGCAAACAAAACTTTGTAGCTAGCCATAAATACTGCATCAGCTTTTCCCCAGTGTGCTACAGTATTAGTTTAGAGTGGATGCGTTTTTTGTTATCACTCTACACCCCTTAGCAGCAAAATGATGAGCATAAGAGTTTTCAGAGTACTAGCAAGGCTGCAGCGGTTGATTTTTTTTGGCCGTTTGGGGAAAGCCAACAAGCTGTAAACAAAACACTGACATGACTTTTCTTAAAATTGAGAAGTTGCCAATTTTAAACACTCAGCAGACACAGAGCATTTGCCTTCATGTGGAGACACGTTTGTCTATCTGACAAATCCAAGTCCAACATTGACTCTCCTTTTAGCTTTGCTTTTCTCTCCACAAAGTCTTCAAGGATAAACAGTGTCTTTTTAGCTGCTAAATGCTCCACTATTTTGACCAGCCTTCTTTGTCTGTCCGTTTGTGCTGGGCAGATAATGTACAGTAGGTTTATCAGGGCATGTTTGCGGAGAGCGACAGTGGCGTAAAGCAAAGTTATGGGCTATAAAACCAAAACAATGAACTAAAAGATGCTAAAATGCTCTGTGGAGCTGAGAGGATAATTCTCTGCAGGCAACCCCTTTTATATTATGCATCGTAATTCTATGCTTTGTTAATATAAACTGATTGATTAGATTCTGTATGTATTCAGATCCCTAGCTCTGACAGTGAAGCATGTTCTTTCTATCACTGCGAGAGGTCTGTTGAGCAGATACGATGTAGAAAAGCTTCAATCTGTCTGTAGATTGTCTCACAGTGATAGAACACCAACATCAAGTCCAAGGAACTGTCCATAGATCGACTTGATTCAAGGTGCCAGTCTCCTTGTGTCATAACTACTTTCTGTCCCTAATGGCCAATAGCACACACACACACACACAGGCGATAAGGACATACATCTCACTCATCACCACACACACACTCACACATTCTCTGGTAGGCTTGAGATTAAGACAAGCCCAGACCATCAGACAAACAAGTAGCAATCACTACACCACTGGATTATCTATTACACTTTTTTTTTTTCTTTCACTGCCCCCAATTTTCCTTCTTGTCGTCTCTCTACCTACTTTCCTCTCCCAAGGCGGAGACGGTCGCTAAGCAACCTTCACAACACAACAGCGCAGCTCTCCAACTTGGCTCTCTGCTCGGTGCGCCCCTGTGGTTTCAGACAATCAAATACATGAGTGTGTGTGCATTCATACAGAATGTGTGTGGGAAAGGTGAAAGCTATGAATAGTTTCCATCTCATAAGCGAAAGCCAGAAGTCCCTTTAGCTTTTAAGAGCCGCCTCTTGACTCAAGTGTAACATCATCTTGTATTCATCAGGTATTTATTACAGGGCATCCAACTCTGGACTGCCTTACAAAGAAAGGACAAAAATGAATAAGGCCGTGAACCTGTGAGGAGATATGCTTTTAATTCACTCCAGCTTGAATAAAATCACCAGAAATCCACCTGTCGTAGACACAGCTATCTATCTGTGACACTAAAGCCTACATGGTTCCTAATGTTCCCTGGTGATAGTAGCCACACAATTGTAGCTATTTTTACTTGGCAACAAATTTTAGTTCCAACAAGTGAAACCTGGATCAGCACAGGCTTTAAAACGAATAGATTCCTCAGTGTCTAAAGATACAAGGCTTAGGTTTCAGAATCCCTACAGCAAAGCACAACCCACTGATGGCAACATAAGCATTGAGCAAATCACTGCAGTACATTATTAATGCAATTATACAAATACAATGTGTTTTGTGCTGCCATATCACCACTCACACAGGTACAATGTAATCAGAGTGCAATCTGTAGAAAAAATAAGAGACGTCGCTTGTTTTCCAGGTGCACCCACTACTGAAAGACTTTCACAGATTGTTATGAGGTTACAGTAATCAAGCGAGCTGCTTACAGAGTATACATTCGGAAAATCAGAATGATCATCATGGCTTTACAAAAATATACATTTGTGGGCATGCACTGGGCGACACAACACTTGCTGCGTCCAATAGTTTAAAAAAGAAGGTAAAAACAGGAGATCCCATCAGTTTACAAAAGCAAAGCTCAAAGAACAAATGGCACTTACTGTAACTATAGCAGTTAGGAAATCTCCGGGGCAGCGTTACAGCCACACACACGTAAACAAACACTCCCACAGATACAACTCAAATAGGAGGTGTGATCAGTAGACAAACACTGGGCCGCTTCATGCCACAGTCAAGGATTTCAATTCAACCAAATATAACCAATTCAGGAAGCAGATTCCCCAATAATAATAAAAAAACAAAACAGAAAATACAGGTTTCATAAAAGATTCATTGAATTTCACCTTGACTGGATTTAAAAAAAAAAACATGTTCTCTCACTGATTGAATAACAAAATGGAGAAATATTAGGCTCCAATCCACCCCTTATGCAACCCACATGTTGTCTCAACCTGAGTAAGGTTTTAAAGAAAACCCCCTTGGTTTCAGCATTGATCAGAGTCTTGGCATACAGTTCCAATTCCTATTTACCAAATTTGCATTACAGCAATGAAGTCTTCAAACACAGAGCCCTGAACATCTGTTCTGTACTGACCTGATACAATGTTTTATAATCCTTTAATGTTAACTCTGAAAGTGAGAATACTGTGGCGTGTAAATGCTGTAAACTAGCAGGTGATATGTTTAGAAATGTATTTCGACTGTTAATGCCTATGGTAACTGGATATTTAAAAGTGATCCAGAAATGCTTTCCCTCCTCAGGACTTCATGTTGTTGATGGCAAAGAGAATCTGACTGACCAATAATTAGCTTTATCCACACCAAACATTCCCAAAATAAATATCACATGGCAGGTCTAACTCAATTTGTTGTCAGCTGGCTGAACTAACTCAGGCCTCCACCACCGCTGTACCCTGTTCTCGACTCCCCTCTGCGGCAGGGCCGAGCGGTCCGGCCCACCACAGGCTCAGGGTGTTGTCTTGTCGGATCTCCTGCGGTGACATCACAGCGTCACCTCCCTCGCCGTCAGAGGCTGAGTCACCCTCACTGTCGCTCGGCCACGGGAACTGACGCTGCCCGCTGGAGGTTGCCAACAATGGCATGAAGGGATGAATGCTGTAGAAGACAGAAATGGAGGAACAGAAAGAAAAGGGAGAAATGAAAATGCTGTAGTGACGAGGGTGTACTGCAAAAAAATGTAATGCATGTTATCGCAGGGACTCAAGATATTTGAAATATCTGGTATTACGCACTGCGACGCTGCACCCATTATGCATTTATATTTAGATGCACATTCACAGCCATGATACATAATTCTTCAGCTTATCAGCCGCTTCATATCTTCTACACAGAACACACTAACATTAGATTGCATGAATTGCTACTAAGCAACAGAGCAATTTACTGGATTTTTCAAAAATATATACAGAAGCTGTAGTTATTGCTGTATGTTGTGTTATATTACAACTCTAAAATTGGAAGCCCTTTTCTTCTCTTATTCAAAATATTTTGGATGATTGGTTTGCATCTCCTTTGCTTTTGTGTGAATGATTGTGGGACCCAAACAGTACAACACAGGCAGGAAAACAGCAACACAGCCGCTGAACATGATTGTAGGACCTAAATTTGATGATTGCTAACAATCTCTCTGCCATCTGTTTGTACTGAAGTCCAATATAATCTTTCTCTATCAGGATTCCTTATGTGTGTGACAGTTTGTACCATTTTTAATAGTAGTTAGTTGAGGGCTAATGGACTTACTGTGTAGCTGAATTTGAGTTCTGACAACAAGATATCTCATGATGAAGCTGTGGTTCCTACCTTTTATAAGTTTTATTTTGTGATGAGAAGATATTTGAACCCTTTTACTACATGGCAAGTAATAAATCAACTTCGATCTGATATTTCCATATCCATCCTATCATTACGGAACCTGCTACATTACACAGTTGGGTTATGTGTCATCAGCCCATAGGATGGGTTACTTTTTTTTTTTTAGCAATCACACCTGATGCCGTTGGTGCAGTCCCAATGGGCCTGAAACCTGAGCTGAGGTTGCAGTAGCTCCTCGTTACCATCAGGAGGAGCTGTCTGGGTGTCCCATACTGACACCACTCCCTCCGTGTCGCCACTCAGCAGGTACTTGCCTGACCTACACAGAAACAGACAAACATGATGGACCTAATGCGAGGACTGACAGGGCACAGGTGATTACTGATCAGCATTTATACACCTGCATGAGTTCAACTAAATGATCAGCCCAAGTGAACAGGAAGAAACTGGATGAATACTCATTACGTAGGTTCCAGGACAGTATCACCACTTTGTTACAGTTCAAGCCCACACACACATATCACTGAGTAGAGTTCTAGTTAGTGAAGTAAACTTACATGTCCAAGTCAAAGTAGATGCGCTGGTTAGTGGCCACATTCCTCTTAAGTGAAAACAGAACCTTGTCTGGCTCTCTTAGGTCCCAGCACAGGATTTCTGGATCCTACACAAACACACACACATTCATCACAAAAGCCCTTTGCCCAGGGCTTCAGAGCTGACTACATGTAGGTGTCAGATGTAATTTTTTTTGATCGAATAAAAAAACTTGACTATTGCTGCACAATTAATCGAAACAACGTGATGTAAATCTTTTTTTCTGCAAACAATAATTTCCAATACCACCTCAAACTCAAATTCAGATTTCACATTTGTATTATGATGTATTGAAATGGATTTCACTTAGACCTGCAGTGGGTTAATCTGTACTCTTTTCTGACCCTTTTGCTAAACTGTAGATTTAAGTGGCAGAGGGACTTGCATGCTACACAGTAACTTCGTAAACTCTGGAATGCTTAACTAGTGTATATTTAATCTGAACACAGTGACATAAGGTAACAAGTGTGAATGGAGGGCATTGAAATCACAGATGGTTATGGAGTCTCTAAACTGCAATGTCAAATTAGAAGAAGACTCCAGACACTAAGGACCTGTATGCATGTCATTCATACTAAATGTATGGTGCCGTCTACACTCCCCTTAGTGTTAATTATTGGCTAATAATTTACAGAAATGCTGATCAGTTTCCAGAAAATCTGATTACTGCAAATTCAAGCTCATGTGATGGCTAACCTCTGCAGCACCCTTCTGACATACAGCGAATCTTTTGACTTTCACTTCTGGCGGGAATGCCATTATGTCTAATCAGATTCATTACATGGCAACTCAGGCTATCAAGACAGGAACTTAGCATATAAAGCTCAAATCCAAAAGCTTTGATGATGCCTGTGTCAACCAATTTTCCAAAGCAACAGAGCAAAGTCATTTGTTACCTGCTTAACACACAAAGCCTACTGATGGTGTGTGTGTGTGTGTGTGTGTGTGTGTGATCATTCAAACAAAGCAATGTTATTACCCTCCTCTCTGCATGCAAG